TTCGTTTCTGCAATGGCGACTACCACCCACGCTGCGACCCCCTGTTCCACGGTTAGACATTGAGTTAATCAATGCTTTTATCGCGTTGGTCCATTCACTGCTAAACCACCTTTGTTTGATACCCAGGCGTTTGTGAGAGTGCATTTATCGTACCAGAGTACACAGAGTCCCCTCTGTTATAGTTGTTTCCATTTGTTAAATTCACTCGTCCGCAACTCTGAGCGGATAGCCTGAGCATTTTGACCTATTACGTTACCCAAACGGAGACGACACTTGGCTATTTCATCTGGGAGATCACGGACTGCCTTTAGATGTCGGTCATTTATTCTCGATAACTTCTGTGAAATTGCCAGGTGCTGTAAGGATGCTTCCCAAAAAGTTCGTAGCATACCCAAACCGCGGACTTTGCGGCCGCTATAGAATACTGGAATGGGGGTATCAGCTAGTTGCCCGCATATTTCCCTAACACCTTGACGTATTAGCATGTCTACACGTTCCAGAAATGATTGATGGAGAAGATCGACTGGTGTTGAGAATATTGAGTTTTTGGTCACCTCTTAACAATGATGAAGTGACTAAGTTTCTAAAGTCTTTTTCCAGACTTATTAGGAATTCTTTTTGATCAAAAATAATTTCATCTTTGAAGTTAATTCCCAAGTATTTTAAGCAATCGGTGTCGCTTAGTGATGGAATTACGGAAGAATCTAAAAGAGTAATTACTTTTGGCGTAAGATTTCCGTTTTCTATATTAATTAATATCTGGGATTTCGACGGGTTTATTTACATTCCCACTGAAGAGAACAAGTCTCTGGCCATATCAACCAGTATGGTGGCGCTTTCCAAGTCTTTGGCTATGATAGTTGTGTCATCAGCAAATCCTATTACTGAGATGTTTTCTAGATTATCGTTTAACTGGAAACCATGTATGCTAGCTACTCCTGGGTCGGAAATTTGTTTTAGGACGAAGTCTTGACAAATATTGAATATCGTAGGTGAGAGCGGAGATCCTTGAGTTACACCTCGAAGCATGTTTATTGGTTTGGACGATTTCCTGTTCACTTCGACGGTTATGTTGTTGCCGGAAATTAGAGAGAACACTAGGCTACGAAGGTTTGGTGGAATCGGTAGTGACTCTAAGGTCTGTTTGATATGATTGTGGCCAACAATATGAGAGTTAAATGTTGATTACATAGGTATTACACAATAACTAAGTGATCAGTTTTAAGTCTATGTCCTAAATAATAAATATTATTGAAATACATACCTTAATTCCATGATTGCGACATCTTCACTGCTACTTATATCTGACATGGTTTTAATCTTAACTATATGCCTAAATGTAAAAACAATAATATAATATACTAGAATTTTAAATAATAAAAATGTGTTTAAAATACGGAAAAAACAGTGGCATGGCAAAGGCAATAATCAATAATTAATCAAGAGGCCACCTCGAGTATCTTGATGGATGGATGGGTGGGTAGTATAGTAATGCAATTAATATAACATGAAATGTAATTTTTAACTATGTGAGCTAATAGGCTAAATAGACTAATATAAGCTAATCTTTATAAAGAGTTGAATTAATTGAAAACTCAATTACAATCATTATTCAATCATTATGTAATTGAATAATTCACGGTTTATTTAGCTAAAAAACTTAAAATGTATTATTCTTCATCAAATATATCAAGCATATTAATTCATGATGCATAGATTTATCAGTATTAAAATTAGAAATGATTGAAAAATAATCATGTTCAAAATTAGTTTTCTCTCTGTTGCATCAACAAATTAATTTAAAGAAAAAATGTTTAATTCAGTTTTAATATTATTAGATGTCTTATAACTTGGCATATAGTAGTAAGTAATGACTTGGGATGAACAATTTGGTTATCAATTAAAAAACCAACTGTTTCATCTTCTTCTAAAAGTCGTCTACGCCAAGTATATTAACTATGGCTATATATAATAAATGAATGTTTTAAATAATTATAAATATAATATATACATACTTAACTTAGTACTTACTTACACAGTTACACCACGAAGACGCAATGGCGGAACACGGAAACATCGACAATGACCAGACAATGATCGACAAAATATGGCACTCCTACTGGTTAAGCCAAGTACAATAAATGAATAAATCCGCAAACTAAACGGAAAACGTTATGCATAGGTATAAAAAACAACAGTATATAAGTACACAAGACGCAATGGCGGAACTCGGAAATATTAACGGACAACAAACAACGAAAAATCTAAAAAGCACAATCCACGAGGCAAAATTATTTAATTATTATAGACGAAGATTAATGGACGTAATCGTTAGCCATAGAACATTATATTCTTTTCTCTGTCTCAAAAGAGAATAATCAGTCGGTCGACCGGTTTTCGGCAGTGCCGCGCATCCCCCACCAGTGTTAACGTGATCACGTGGTTCTCGATGCACCAATCGAATCATTCGTGATGCGCGAAAAGTGATGATTCTCTTTTGAGACAGAGTATATGGTTAAACTGACCCCGCGTAGCGTACCCCGCCTGCGATCCGTTAAACGTGTACATAATCAGGGTGACCTTGTGTCTAATATCATGTTGGTGCTGTAAACGTTAACATGTTTTTCGGAGGTTTAGACTTCAGATCATAGGTAAACAAGACCCCATGGCCAATCAGCTGATCGAGTAATTATATAGTTATGTATATGTAGTTCATGGCCGTTATACTCGTTATTCGGATAATTGATAAACTATAATCACTAGTTTGACTATAATAAACAATAATATGTTATCATTAGCTATTTTTTTTATAGTTACTATTATAATTTATATTATCATATAATATTATAGAATAGTAGATACTAGATACGCATTGGTCGTCACTCGTCAGTCATATCGTATCGCGTGGTCTTGGCGTCGTTCATCATTTGGGTAACATGATATATGATCTAAGGGGTAGGATGAGGATTGAGGACGTATGCTTCTAGAATATTATCAAAAATTATTAAAATAGCTGATATTTCCAAACAGTTATATGAAAAAACCTTAACCGGTCCGTACTCCGCGATAGCAGCCTGTATTGCGTAATATGTATAATATAGTAATATAGTTTTATACTCCATTTCATAAGAGAATATAATATTATGCATATTAGGTATAGTATTATATCGCATAGCGACTTACGGCTGGCGGCCATCCCTAGCCCAATTTCTCCCAATCTCGCACTCGATCTAAACTGTCCGACAAGCGACAACTATACACCGATTTCAAATAAATTGTACGTAAACGGTTAACTCGAGAGTAAACACGTATAATTATTAGTAGTGCATTACTGGATTTTCCACTGGTGCTAATTGGAACTGGCTGTATATGGACATATCGCACTGTGAGTACATTAGTTTAGTAACTAAAAATGCATGATTTTGATAAAATCGAGTTTTTAAGTTTTTCATATCTTAAATCACTGATAAAAGAAAAAGTATTTTATTTAAATGTTTGAAACTTTGGTATTATATAATATTATTAATTATATTAAGTGTTTTAAACAAATTTACTATTTTTAAATACTATTAAACAATGTTTTTTATCAATTAAATAATTTTTTTTTAGTTACTACACTATTGCATTTTAATATTTACTTTAAAATGCCTATTAGAATGTAGAATATAACTTAGTACTTAGTCCACAAGGTTCTAATAATTTCCTTTTTGGTTTTTCTATTCCTTTTGTTGTAATATAAGAATCTCCTAAATTTCTTTTGTTTTTTTTTAATTTCTCTTTTCCACATATTTTGATTCCTTTTCCTTTTTCTTGATCTTTTTTCTTTTTGAGGAGTTTCATTATTTATTGGGAGAGCTGCAGGGTTGTCTTCAAGAATAATAATGTTGGTATCTTCATATTCAAAAT